CATTCTGTGTGATATGGATAGGAGCAACTTTAGATTACTTTTGGCATTCACAGAACAGGTGCATAGGGTAGACGGTCACTTTTGGGCTCGGGAAACCAGCACTGAATGGTGGGATTGTATCATCATGCAGGTGGACAGCAGTAAGGAGCAGTTCAACAACAGGCTGAGCAGGTGCTGGATGACAGTGGAAGGTGCTTTTGGCAGATTAGAGGTGTGTTGGCGATGACTTTATGGCAGTTTAGACCTTAATGAGGATAATATTCCCATGGTCATAGCCACATGCTGTATGTTGCATAAGCTCTGTGTAGCTAAGGGTGAAAGTTTTGCTCAGGGCTGGGGTGCTAAGAGTTCTGAATGTGCTGCAGGGGAGGGCAAGCACGGCTCTGCTCAGTCTGCAGCATTATTAAGGACTTTAGCATCTGCGTTTGCTCCTCCATTACTTTAATCATCTGCTCAGTTGCATCCTTAAACTCCTGATTCTCTTTTATGTCCTGCTATTCAGCTTCCCAGCACTCCTTGCGTTCTCTTTTCTCTGCATTGGACCACTGCAGTACCTCCCGGAACATGTCTTCTTTGCTGCAACTTGGGCCGTGGCTACACTCGAAACTTCAAAGCGCTGCCGCGGGAGCGCTCCCACAGCAGCGCTTTGAAGTGCAAGTGTGGTCGCGCGCCAGCGCTGGGAGAGAGCTCTCCCAGCACTGCAGGTACTCCACCTCCACGAGGGGATTAGCTTACAGCACTGGGGCACTGTTTACACTGGCGCTTTACAGTGCTGTAACTTGCTGCGCTCAGGGGGGTGTTTTTTCACACCCATGAGCGAGAAAGTTGCAGCGCTGTAAAGCGCCAGTGTAGCCATAGCCTTGGGCACTTTCTTATCTGGCGGAGCTGCTCGGCTGGGGTGCGTGGGGTGTTCCTGAAGGCCACATCTGGTGAAGCACAGGGGACAATGCACAGAAACAAGATTGTTACATTCATACACAGCATTGAAATTTGAGTTAAATAAACCTTTTGCAACATTGCAATCACTCTCACTGACCCTTGCCAGGCACACATCTCTGCGAACACCCAAAGCATGGTGAGTGTTGGGGCAGGGGGGCGCTCCTCATGGGAAAAGAGCACACACTCTTTGCAAGGGTTGTGGTGCAGCATACTAGGGAAAAAATTCTAAAATTCTCCCACACTTTTCCACAGGCGGGGATCATTCTAGCAGCTATCTCACTGCTATGGGTAAGCAGGGAAACTAGGGTACATCTACTCCATGCTTGTGGCTTCCGCCCTGTTCCTTATGCTGCTCACGTGTGTGCAGCTTTGGTCCCTGCACAAGTGATTGCTGAATGGCACGGGAAAGTTTCCTACAATGGGGAAGGAACAAAGCTGTTCTGCCAAGAAACCTTCGGCAGAGCATTACCGAGTACTTCCAGGAAAGTTTCCTAGAGATCTGTCTGGAGGATTCCCGTGAGATCTTGACGTGCATCAACACCCTATTCTGCCATACCGATTAGCTACATAGGGAAATGTGCAGCTCACAGAAACACAGCCAGCCTTCCACATTTCTATACCCTGAACCCACCTCCGCACCACACAAACCACAGCCACTTACCAGGCATCTCCTCTCCTGCTTCTTGCTCGCTGGAGAGCAACTGCTGAGACTGGCTAAACACCTCTGGAGTGGAGAACAGTACCTGGCTGCCTGCCCCACCGGGCGACCCCACAGGGAGCTGCACATCGTCATCTAAACTCCATCACTTCATCAATAACTTTGTCCTCCAGGTTAGGTCCTCTTTCCACTGCCTCCAGGCCCGCCGAAGTATCCACGGGGCTCTTGGCAGTGGAGGCAGGGTCGCCACTGAGGATAGTGTCCAGCTCCTTATAGAACCAGCAGGTTTTAGGTGAAGCATCGGCTTGATGGTTTGCCTTCCTTGCCTTTTGGTATGCCTGCCTCAGCTCCTTTATCTTCGCTCTGCACTGCAGCATGTCCCAATCATAGCCCTTTTAACACAAGCTTCGAGAAATGTGCCCGTGGGTATCCCAATTCCTTTGGCTCAAATGCAGCTGTGACTACACAGCCTCCTCTCCCCATGGACTGATCAGATCCAACAGCTCAGCAATGGTCCAAGCAGGAGAGCGTTTGGTGTGATAACCTGCCATGGTTACCTGGGAACATGTGATAAGACCTCTCCATGCAGAGCCAACAGGAAATGGAATTTCAAAAATTCCAGGGACTTCTAAGGGGGAGTGGGTGGTTGTTTACCTGGCTGCAGGGCAGTGGAATTCAAACAGCTGACTACAGCGGTCAGCATGGGCCTTGTGGGACATCTCCTGGAGGCCAATTAAAGCAATGAAATCAAGCATGGTGTCTACACTGGCACTTCGTTGAGAAAAATTTAGAGGAAAAAGATGTATGTCTCTCGTCGGGGTGGTTGTATTTTGTCGCCAAAACTGGACATTTTCCCCGAAAAAAGTCAGATCGGTGTGTACGCATTCACTGTTTGGTTGACAAAAGGCAGTTTTTGTTGACAAAACTTGGTAGTGTAGACAAGGCATAGATATAAGATGAGAGAGAATGGGTGGCTACAACAAAAGTTGTGAGGATGTAAGAATGAGATGATTATGATATAAAAAGTGTGGTAATCTTCCTTCAAATCTGTCCCAAGTCCCACTTATACTGTGATGTTCACAAGAAATTAGCCCACTAATAATGATTAGCTCAATGGCCAAGTGAAGATAGTGGCTATTTACACAAAGAGTAAAAAATATTGACGTATATTCCTCTGTTTCCCCCTTTTGACCCAAGTAGTTAGCCAATTTTTGGAGTCCAGTGGGGTTGTTTTGATTAGGAGGAGAAACTGATGTTGGAATCAGATATTTCTTTGGCCAGGTGCAATCCTATTTATTTACAAAGAGTGTACAAAGTCCTGTTTCCCTGAGCACCACAGGAATCAAACAGGAAATAATTTCTTTGCTCACAGTTCTAAATTTATTTCAGCCAGTACTCAGTGCAAAAAGCTCTCTAACCTTTTTCTCAGGGCCATCATCCCAGTGGATGTTCTGATTCCTTGGCTTTCTGCTCCTGGTCTTTCTGCTTCTCTGGTGTTTTTCCTGCTTCTTTCTGTCCCACAGACACAGGTACCTCCAACAAACAATATCCAGAGACACCCCTCCTCCCCTATGTGCCTTGCATGTGCTTCTATTTTGGGTGATGACCTGCATCTGTGTTTTGACAGGAGGCTGCTGTTATTTCAGCTATCTGGTTCCACATAGAAGCTTAATTTTGTCCTACATTTACTCCAAATGAAGGGTGGCTGTTACACTCACCAGTTTCAATGAAGTTTAACCCAACCCATAATACCTCTTGCCCACCCTTATGTTGCTTATTCCAAGATCCTTGGGGCAGGGTCTGCTTTATTATATACTTGGACAGTGCCGAGTAGAATGTGGGCACTACCATAATAATCAATGACAATTTATGGCAAATGTGTGTGCAGCTGGCGAGAATGGTTAGGTTCCACCAGGCCAAGCCTTCTACTGCAGAAGTGGAGACTGTTATAGATCTGGAAATGGAGGCACAGAAAGATTAAAGCTAGAATTTTCAAACTTGTGTATATAAGATAAGGCATCTAAATCCATATTCAGGCACCTGTATAAACGTGATTTGATTTCTAGAAGTGCCGGAGTCAATTGGATCTGTGGGTGCTCAGCACCCCTGGACTTGGGCGCTTAACATTAGGCATCTAAATCTGAAAATTTTGGCCTATGTGACTTGTTGAGGGTAGGGACTCAGTGTCATTGATTAAATTAGTGCCTTGCTTAGTCCGCAATGTCTCTCATTCTGTTGAGGTACCCCTCATCACTAGATGTCACAATGGCTGCTCGGTAGGGAAGCTGGCCCAGGGAGCTGGTGATGGCAGTACTGTTATCAGTGGTAGTCCAGGTGGAACTGCTCCTTACTGCTGCCAACCAAGCTGGGGTCTTCCCCAGCATCAAGGGACCCATGGTTGTGTTTTTCCTGGATCCTAAAGGCCAGCCTTAGGTGTCTGTAATAGGACTGTGAATAACCTGTGATCTTCAGGCAAACATACTGTCAACTCGCCAACCCGAGTGCTCAGTGTGCAGTTGCAAGGCTATTTTACTTTTTAAAAGACAACAAATGGAAGCTGGTATGCGCCTTTACACTTCCAGGTGTAAAATAGGAGCAGGGGCAAGGAGGGAAGGCAGCAGCATGCTTTGTGGGCTTTCAAAGGTTGTTTCTGTTTATGGAACAAGTAAATGATATAAATCAAATTCCCCATGACCCATCCCACTTACCACTATGGCAAACCTTCAAGGCAGAGGAAAGTTAACACCAGGGACAGGGCTCGTGTTTACAGGACTAGGATCCTTATCATGGGGCTGACCTCTCACCCACTATTTATCAGCTTGCTCAGCCTTGAGCTGGCTGGAAGCCGAGCCCTGAGGCGGGGCTGCAGTGTGATCATTCCGAGGTGGGGGTTACTGTGGCAAGGCCTCAGAGGAGACTAGAGAGTTACTGAGTGGGAGGAAATGCAGATACTGGAATTAGGATCCAGTGAGGGACTAGGTCGTGAGCAAGGGAAGGGAGGAGCCAAGGGGGAGATGGGGAGCTTCAGCGTGAGGGAGGGGAGTCAGTGAGGAGCTCCCGCGGGGGACAGTGGGGAGCAGGGGTCGGGGGGCAGAGGGGGGGGCTCCCCTGGGGGGAGTCGGGCAACTCCCGCGGGGAGGGGGGTGAGTGGGGGACACAACGGGGGGTTCGGGTCTCTGGGACGCTTCAGAGGCGGTGCCCCAGCTCCCCGCCTCTTGTCGCTGGGGTGGGCTCCCCGGGCCAAACCCGCTGCGACGTGCGCGGGTAGCAGGCCCGTTCCAAGCGCCTGTCCCTGGCTGCCCGCCCGCCAGGCCAGCGGCGGCCACTCCCCGGCGGGGGCGGGCTTTGTGCCGCGGCGGGACCGGGGCATGGCGGGGGGGCGCTCGCCCAGGGTGGGGCTGCCTCTGGCCCATCTTAAATCCCCGGGGCTGAGCGGGCCCCGCCAGTGCGCTGCGCTCCGGCCATGGAGTGGGCTGCGCTCCTCCTGCTCCCGCTGGCGCTCTGCGCGCTGCTCTACCTGCTGGGCCGCTGGCTGCTCGGCCTGGACGGCGACCTCACCCTGCTGTGGGCGGAGTGGCGGGGCAAGAGACCAGGTAACCCCCCTCCCCCGGTAGTGCGGCGCCAGGGGGCCAGCCCTGCCCCATCCAACGTGGGGGCAAGAGCCAGCGGGGTGGCAGCAGCTGCAGGGGTGGGGTAGAGCCAGCATGTGCCTCACTGGGGCGTTTGTGCCCGGGGACACGTATTTTAATCCGATTTAATTAAAGGGGTGGATTAGTTAAACTACCTCAAACCCCTGTGTGGACTCAGTATTCGGCATTCACGTGGCTGGATTCAACTAAACTGAATTGAGGCCACTTTGATGCTGAATGAGAGTGTTCACACAGGGGTTTAATGCAGTTTACCTAATCCACTTTGGACACACACGTTGTAGTTCATGTGGATTGTTTTCCTGAGTGCCCCTGTGTAGACAGGTTTCAGAGTAGCAGCTGTGGTAGTTTGTATCCACAAAAAGAACAGGAGTACTTGTGGCACCTTAGAGACTAACAAATTTATTTGAGCATAAGTTTTTGAAAGCTTATACTCAAATAAATTTGTTCGTCTCTAAGGTGCCACAAGTACTCCTGTTCTTCCTGTGTAGACAAGCTCTGGGGTAGACTAAAGGGAGTGTGGGGATCGGGGGTGTGTGTGTGTGTGTATGGAGGGGAGGGTAAGGCTATGGGAAGAGTGTTGGGATAATCACAGGGGTGTGGTCATGGTGTAGAAGCCAGGGGAGGAGGAGGGGGGTCCTGTGTAGTGGTGGCGAGGCAAAGCCATGGAGTAAGTGTGGTGTAGGGGATGTGATCCAGACCTGGGTCTGGTTTCAGTGGTAGCCATGTTAGTCTGTATCAGCAAAAAAAAATGAGGAGTTCTTGTGGCACTTTAGAGACTAACAAATTTATTTGGGCATAAGCTTTTGTGGGCTAGAACCCACTTCATCAGATGTATGAAGTAAAAGATCTAGGAGCAGGTATAAATACATGAAAGGATGTGGGTTGCTTACCAAATGTTAAGCCAGTCTAACCTGGGTCTGTGTTTGTAGCAGGCTAGCGTGTCTGGCTCAACAGGACAGGCTACTGAAGACCCAAGCTGCCAGGGAAAATGGGCTCTGATGTAGTCTCAGCACATCAGGTGGCAGTCCCAAGGGGGTCTCTGTGGGATAGTCACAGGAAAGTATATGTGGGGGAGAGGAAGGATCTAGAATGGGATGGGGTATTTAGGAGTCTCTGCCACGTCCCTATTTATACTACCTTTTGAAAGAAACTGTAGGCTGGAAATAACCTGCCTCTGACCAGATAATGCTGATGTTTGTACCCTGCACAGCTGTGGAAAAAAACAGGGAAGAGGTCTTTCGAAAACATTTCTATATTCCTTATTAGTGCCATCCAACTGCTAGATGCTTCACAAATGTGCAGGAAATTAAAAAATGTACACTCATACCTTTTGAAAAAGGCCAGCTATTTAAACATTTTGACATTAGGGCAGAAAAGTTAATCAGCAAGACTTGTCCATCTCTGAGCTCTCATTGGTGCACACCTGAAGATTTAATGGAGATAGTTATGGAAACTTCTGTAATAGGTTTCAATCTAGGTTTTTAGTCTGTTTTAAATACATGTTCACTAATACAGTGCTAATAATTCTCTTTCTAGATTTAATCTAGTATGATGTCTAATTTGTTTGTTACTTTTATAGCATCACAAGCTTGCTAGGTATTCTACAGAACAAATAAAAGACTGCACTATTTAGAAAGAACAGAATGAATAAGGGTAATGAATAAAATGAGGGGCTGCGGGTGAGATAGGACAAGGATTGCGACCGTTTACAAGAAAGTGTTACTGTTCCCACTGTCTCCTCCTGCTCCTGAATTTACAAGCTGCTTAGGCCTTCTGTAAGTTTTCTTCTCTGCGTGTGTCAAGCTAGCTTCCCCTCTTCAAATCCCTCTTCAAAACTGACTGTCTTACTTTGTCAGTTAAATTCAGCCCAGGCACTACGGTTCCACTCTCATAAAAACTGTTAATTAAAAAGCCGGTAAGGAAATTAAGCACACAACATAAACAAATTGTGTGTTTTCAAGCGCTCTGTATAATGTCCTCCCAAGAGTGTTTTTCCTTACTTTTTCCTGACTTAAGAAGGATTTCACAATCTGTGCCTTTGATTTTATGTTTGATAGGGTAGGTAAACAGGTCTCTTACACTGTACAGTGCCATGTGCATCAATGTTAAAAATTAAATGTTGAATAGCAGTTATAAGTATCTAATGGATCTTTCTAATTTTTCTTGGTTTTACATTTTGTTTGTTTCAGTGCTGTCAGGTTGTTTTATAGCTATGCATCAGGGCCGCTGCAAGGATATTTTGTGCCCTAGGCGAAACTTCCACCTTGGACAACCTCTCCCCCCCCCTTGCACATAGATTCATTGAGGGGCAAATCCCAACGAGCCTTTATAGTCCCCAGGGGCTGCTCCCCAGACCAGGTTCCCCCCTCCCCGCCCCTGAACTCCCCTGGAGGGTGCACAGCCCCCCCGCGAGCCAAGCCCTCCCCATCCCGGCGGCCAACGCCCCAAGTCCACTCACTGGCTTTGCCAGGCTTGGGCCGCTGCAGCAGCCCGGCAGGGAGGAGCCGCCTTCCAGAGGCACCGGAAAGCCAGAGCATCCTGCTTGCGGCAGCGGCGAACCCCAGCCATGGAGGAGCTGGCGCGGCGCAGCGGGGTAGCAGCCATGCAAAGGTAGCGGCGTTGCTAGCGGGGAGCAGCCGCACCCTCCGCCCCTCCTGCCCAGGCTGTGGCCTGGCACCCCCCACCCCCCAGGGGTTCCTGCAGGCTGCAGCGGATGCATGCAGGCACCAGCCTTCATGTGCCCCCCGGCTCTCCTCTCGCCTAGGGTTACCAAATTTCAACAATCAAAAAAGAGGATTGGGGGGGGGAAGAGCCCCACCCAAGCCCTGCCCCCTCCCCCATCCACCCCCTCCCACTTCCCACCCCCTGACTGCCCCCCTCAGAATCCCCAACCCCCCCGCTCCTTGTCCCCTGACTGCCCCAACCTTTATCCACACCCCTGCCCCCTGACAGGACCCCCAGAACTCCTGACCCATCCAACCCCCTCTCTCTGCTCCCTGATGCCCCCCGGGTTTCCCCTTACCATGTCTGGAGGGGAGGGATAGTTTGAGCATTGGCCTGCTAAACCCAGGGTTTTGAGTTCAATCCTTGAGGGGGGCCATTTAGGGATTTGGGGCAAAAATCTGTCTGGGGATTGGGCCTGCTTTGAGCAGGGGGTTGGACTAGATGACCTCCTGAGGTCCCTTCCAACCCTGATATTCTATGCCCATGCCAGTCAGATGCTCCATGTGGAGGCAAAACACGCTGCCAGGCTATGGTGTGCACAGCCCCTCCCCCACAGAGTGCTGAGGCAGCGGGAGGGGGGGAGCTCTGGAAGGGACAGCGGCGGCTCACGCTCCCTGGAGCCACAGAACCTGAGTGCGGTGAGGGGGGAACCGGGGGGCATGCCTGCCTGGGCTGCGGGCGGTGGCCCCCGTGTGCCCTCGGGCTCTGCGGCTCCAGGGCGTGTGAGCTGCCACTGTCCCTCCCGGAGCAGGCTCAGGGCCCCGTGCCCCAGCGGCGGTGGTGGCTCACATGCCCGGGAGCTGCAGAGCCTGAGCATGGCGAGGGAGGAGCCAGGGGGCGCATGGGGACCACCGCCTGCATGCATCTGCTGCAGCTGGGCAGGAGAGGCGGGGGGCGTGGCTACTCCCCGCTAGCAGCGCTGCCGCCTTTGCAAGGCTGCTGCCCCCCTGTGCCGTGCCGGCTCCTCCATGGCTGGGGCTTGCTGCCACCGCAAGCTGATGCTCTGGCTCTCTGGTGCCTCCGGAAGGCGGCTCCTCCCTGCCGAGCCAGGGCACTGCTTTTTGGCACCCCCAACCACTTGGCGCCCTAGGCGACTACTTAGTTCGCCTAGTGGTTGCACTGGCCCTGCTGTTCATCAGTCCCTTTCCCACTTTTTTTTTTTCCTTTAGGTTCCTGTTTTGGTTCCCATATTTTTCAGTAGCTACATGTGACCTGTTTTCAGGTGTAGATGCAGCCAGTGTGTTAGCCAGTTTTGCAGGCCTTTGTAGAAAGCAATGTTGATACCACAGAAATGGATGCCTTGTGGTTTGTTTATTATTGGTAAGACTCACAAGATATTAGGCATTGTATAAACATAAAAGAGGCATGGTCCCTGACTCCAAGAGCTGACAACCTATGGCTTGATACTGCAGGTTGCTTTGTGTGGTCAAACCCTATGCCTGTGGGGCTCCACATGGACAGAGGGTCCAGCTCTCCAAGTGGTTAGTGGTTTGCAGGATTGGGGCCAAAGAAAGAGTAAGGGTACAAGATGCAAATAGAAAGGTCAAAATGATGATCTGGCCATAGAAGTACAGGCAGCTTTGTGAAATCTGCTCATGACTTCAGTTCCACTGAGACTGCTATTAAAATCCTGTTTTGAGGATAAAGGGAGGGCCTATTTAAGCACCACCAGGAAATCTATTTGACTTCTTGAGGTCCCTTCCTCCTATTCTGCTCAGTGCAGCATTCTGAAAGTTGATTACAACAGCTTAACTAGAACTCTGGCCAAAAGATTAGCACCTGTAATATAGAGAGGAAGGTAGTCTTGTGGTTAAGACTTGAAATTATAAGACCAGGGCATTTCTTCCCAGTTCTGCCACAGACTGAGCGATTACTCTGGGTGTTCTAGTAAAAACTGGTTCTTAACTGTGAGCCTTTGAAAATCAGAGTTTGCTCAAGTGCAGTATGTTATGCATAACTCTTTCACTAAGCTGACAATGGTTTTCAACCTGGGATCTGTAGACCCCTGGGGGTCCGCAGGCTGTCCAAGATTGCCAAAGGGATCTGTATGTCTATCTGAATATTTTTTCATTTGCAGACCCCTAAAAAGGTTGAAAACCACTGGTGTATAGCTAAGGAAGGTGGTGCTTAAGCTGCATACTGTAACATTAAGGGTGTTTACACTGCAATATTTAAAAAAAACAAAACAAAAAAACCAGTGGCATTGAATCTCAGAGGGC